TTGTGGGGATGTGCTTAGAGTGAGCTCTGCAGTGTCTCCTGCTCCGTTACAAATGCTTGCTGGATGTGGTGGGGACCAGCACAGATCCTTCTCCATCTGCTTGGTCTGGGCAGCCCTTTCCGTACAGCAGTGGACAACGGACTGGCCCTGCACAGCTCGCCTGAGCGAGGCAGATACCCTGGAGGTGTCTCTGCCGTGTCTGTATTAGGCGTGAGGAGCAATGCCACCAGGATGCAGTGGGGAGAGATGCGGTGAGGGACTGCGTGGGGATGCCTGCACCCAGGTCACAGCGTGCTTGGGGATGGGGTTGGGGATCTGCCTGGGGACACCTTTGTCTCATGCCTGCCAGGACCGGTTGCTGGCGTTTTTGCTGGGAGCGCAGGGTCGGTGCCGTGGGGTGTGGGAACGGCTGGCCAGGAAGCTCCTGGGTGTGTGCCTTTCCTGTGGAACCTCCCCAAACTGAGTCATCCCCAGCAATGCTGTGCTGTCTGTCCTGTGCTCCCCCCTCCCGTGCTGTGGGTGCAGCTGTGGGCTTCCCACCCAGCCCAGCCGTCACCCACAGGCTGTGGACCAGACCCTTCTTGGAAGGCCAACGCTCGGTTTGCTTTTGGGTTTGGCTTCAGCGTCCACCGAAAGCCAAGCTGCAAGATGTGTAAAACTGGGGAAATTTCGCACCTGACAGAGAGAACAAACTGAGTGAAATCCAGAAATCTTTTGGGAGGACCCCAAACACGCTTTATCTCCAGGGCAAGAAACTTGTTTATACAGTGAAGAATCTTCCCAGGTGTCCTCTGGGGACCTCTCTGTAGAGTGGAGCCCCTTGTTGCAGCAAAAGGTGGTGGCAGGTAGGACGTTTGTAGATGAGGTGAAGAGCCTCAGCTCTGCCTTGGGATCTCACTGTCTGATCTCAGAGAGCCACTGTCTGTTGCCCTCCCTGGTGGGCAGTCTAAGAATTGTTTTACTGCGAGAACCCAATGACGATCTGGTCCTTTGCTTTAATTTTCTTTTGATTTTCTTTTATTCTTACAGTTGGCATAAATAATAGAGTGAGACCAGCCTCAGTACTGCAGCAGAGATCTGCGTGTGCATTGTCACAGCAGATAAACATGTGAAAAACACTTGTGTACACAAGGAGGATGCGTGTCCAATTACCAGCAGTGCCCAGCTGCTCTCTGAAGGACTGGTCTGCTCTAAGAGCTGCCCTGGGATGGTGGATTTGCATGTCAGGCTTTTGCTTTGCATCTGAGTTATTTCAAACCTAGCAAAGCTTGTGCTGTGCATGAGCAGGCAATGCCTTGGTACCCAGCCATCTGAGTGGCGTGCTGGAATCGCCCGGGCGGTGAGAAGCTCCCTCTGCGACGTGGGAGGTGAGCGAAGCGTGGAAATGCCTGGCCTTTAACCGAACTGGGGGGTGGTCTGGGGCACCTCTGGTGGGGGCCACCTCTGGGCCCCCCCCTGCCAGTGGCTGCAGCCACCTCCTGTGCTGGGGCTCCTAAAGCCCCACGTGGCTCAGAAAGTCCAGTGCTCGGATTAGGAAATGTCAGACATGCAGTTTCCTGGGCAACCTCAATTCGGCCTCACTTGCAGGGGCTTTAGGATGCAATCAGTAATAGCGTGATCGCCACCGTTTGCCCTCTAAGAGCCCTGCCCCATTCCTGGCACCGGCTGGAGCCCCCCAGTCCCTCCAGCCTCAGGGCTCATTTGCTTGGTTGTACATCCTGAGGTTGCAGAGCTCCTGGAGACATTTAGGAGTTGCCTTCCCAGCTTTTCCATGGCTCTCCACTGTAATATCTGACCATTTTAGAAAATGAATGGGTTTATGTTCTCAGCAGCACCTGGTGGGGAGACTTTGCTTCTACGAAGAGGCATCCTTGAGACAGTGGAGGAGTGAAGCCAGTGTGGCAAAACCCCAGCAAACCTAGGGAGCTCGGAGGCTGAAACCCCTGGTCTGAGCCATTTGCTCTGGGTCTGAGCTAAGCCCATGTCTCGCCTGTCTAATTGGTGCTGAGTGCCTCTGCAGCCCCCTGCAAGCAAAATACCCAGTTTTAGTGGTCTCAGCAGAGACATGTTAGGATTCTCCACCACCCTCTGCTTTCTAGACCTGGAGCTGGAGGCACCTGAGTGGGGGCCACTCTGTGAGCTTGCTGGAGCTTGTGTGTCCCTCACTGGGAAGCCAGACCCGAACACTGAGGCAATGCGGAGGGGGCATTCTGCTGGTTGGGAAGCGTGACGGCCACGTGCAGAGGAACCTCTCGGCTGCCGAGCTGCTGTGCTGGTGTGCTGTCTTGTGTGAAGCTGCTCTGTGTTTACAGGGTGAGAGAGGGAGGTTCCAGGACTGGCGCTAGCAGCAAGCTGGGTCTGTGTCTGTCTGGCAAAATGCATCTAGCACAGGGGGTTTGTGGCAGGTTTGAATGTGCGCAGGTTGAGCTCGGAGCAGGAAGAACGAGCAGGCAGTCCCTGTCTGAGCCCAGGAGGGTCAGCAAACCGCGTTTCACAGCCCTGCAGCATGCCTGGAGCCATGAGAGCTCTTTGCAGAGGATGAGCATCAGGCACGGCGCTGCCCATCTGCCCGCCTTGCGGGTGCCCGCATGTTGAGCCTCTGCATTTGTGTGTGCGGGGACGCCTGCCGTGTGCTCGTGCCTCCCCTGGCAGCAGCGCAGGTGCGAACGAGCTGTAGCTGGCACGGGGCTGCGCTCTGCAGATGTCGTTGCAGTGGAGTGAGAGCCTCTTTGCAGCTTTCTGAGGCCTGGGTGCAGCCCACGGGATCTCCTGGCCATTCAGAGCAGCAGCTGCTGGTCTGCCCTTGGCGTCTCACAGGCCGTGGGTGGGCAGCACACGCCTGCTGCAGGCTGAGCCCCTCTTTGCCTTGGAGAGGAAAAGCGTGTTTAGAAAACAGAGGGGCGTCCCGCAGCGAATTTGCAGTCGCTGTTGCTCATCTCCCCACCCCGTGGTTGTTAGGGTGGGTGTCAGCGACCAGGCAGCTGCAAAAGTCACCGACGACTTAGTGTTGCCCACCCCTGCGGTGGGGGGGTGTTTCGCTCCAGTGGTGGCAAGCAAAGGGCTGCAGCCCCCTGAGCTCAGCGTTGGCCCTTGGTGTCCCCGGTGCCCACGGGGGCTGAGCGATGCCACGTCTCCCTCGGGTGATGGAGGAGAGAGCAGATTTACTGTCTCCTGCTGCAAAGCCAGGGGCTGGCTGTTCCTGCAGCCGTGTCCT